TCAAGAGGCCCTTGGGAGAACTGAAGAATAGGAAGCAAGGCTGGTAACAGTTCTTTCAGCCTGCCACTTAGCAGAACCTTAGTGGACACCTGCTACCTGCTGGGCTCTGCCCTATGGTCCACCTACTGGGCAAGCCATAGCCAGGGGCTGGCTAGCAATAAACTTAGAAGTAACTGAAAAGCACCTTTCTCCCTCATGCAAACAATCATGTAAAGAAGGAAAGGACTGAGTTCCACACTGACTTCAGCAGGGCCTGCTGCTCAGGGCCTCCCCGTGCCCCCCCCCCCTTAGGTCTTTTCCATTTAGAAGTAAGGGAGAGGGGCAGAGAAAGGAGACTTTGGCATCATTTAGGGGGAAGCCAGTGAATGGCTGAGCAAGCACCACATGCAGCTGGTCCCCCACCCTGGGGCTTAGAAGGGTCCTCTCACGTACCTCTCACACAGCCTAGTTAACAGGAATTGAAGCCCTGCTTTAAACTGGCTGGATGGAGGAAAGATCTATAAAAACTGGTCTCAGAAGCACCACATTCAGAGCATGCGCTCAGACCAAGACCAACTTTCCAGAATCTGTGTATGACCCACTGTGCTGCTCACTGATCTGGGGACCGCTGTATACTCTCCAAGTATTTCCTGCATTTACCTCAATCTAAAATACCATTTTAAAAACACTAGTTTAGCCAGGTGGCAATGGCACACACCTTTATTTAGTCCCAGCACTCAGGAGGCAGAAGCACCTGGATCTCTGTGAGTTTGAAGCCAGCATAATCTACAGAGCAAGTTGCAGCACAGCCCAGGCTACACAGAGAACTCCTCCCTCCCCCCATCTCAGATTTAAAAATACTGATTTAGGTACAAGGGTGTTTTGCCTGCATATACGTGTGGACCACATGCATGGCAGGTGCCCATGGAGGCCAGAAGAGGGCGTCAGACCTCCAGACAGGAGTTACAGATGGTTGTGAGCTTCCAGGAGAGTTCAAGGATTCAAACTCAAGTCCTCTGCTACAGTAACAAGTACTCTTAACCTCTGAGCCAAACCTCTAGTTCTGCCCCCCCCCCACCCCACCATTTTTATGTGTCTGTACCCACCCCCAGTCTCTTTGAGTAAGAAAGGGGCCATACCATTAATCTACACTCCCAGGGGTCACATGGTGGGGGCTAATTATTTTTGCCTGAATTTTTCTTCCTAATCAAAATGGTGTCATCCTTCAACGAAATAAACCTGGCTGGGGTTGCAGGCTTTAGCTTAAGTTGAGGCAGCAGATTCAAAAGAGGTGAGGGGGGAAGTAGGCACCTTTAATCCCAGCACTTAGGGGACAGAGGCAGGAGGATCTCTATGAAGCCAAAGCCAGCCTGTTTTACATAGTGAGTTCCAGGATAACCAGATACACAGTGAGACCAATACTGTGTCATGAATACAAACAGACAGAGGCGATAGAGGAGATAAGGGGCTAGCTTTGGACCTGGTCCTGGAGGACCTCTAAATTTGGCTTTTTTCTTTGCCAACGTAAAAATGTATCTTTGTGTCTGCTAAAGATGTTCCCGGGATAGGTGGTGTTTCCCTGTATCAGTCGGTTTCCTTAAGAGTGTCATAGGGGAAAGTTTGGAAACTGGAAGCTGAACAAAGGTACAATCTTACTTTTTTTTTTTTAAATAAATAACAGTCTGAAGGTCGGAGAGGTCTAGTCACTTGCCTAAGGTTACACAGCTAGATGGGCAGGATCCGATTTCCCATCTCCTGGTTTCCTCACTGTGCCTCAAGCAGGCCCCTTGGGAAGTCTGCCAAGGGCTCCTTTCTTTCCCACATTATGTGGCACCTCCTATGAGGCAGGCAGCGTGTTAGGCCAGTGGATGGGAAATGAAGTCAGTCTTTGCTCTGCTAAAGATTTTTCTTTGAGCCGTGTCCCAATTAGCTTCAGTTTTCCAGAGTTTAGAGCCAGGGTCCCTGTGGCCTTCAGCTGGTTGGCGTGAGCAGAGGCTTCTCTGAGGATCTAGGGGCTGTAGAATCCTCAGGCCGCCAGCCTATTCTGGAGCTAGTTGCTGCCTTTACCACCAAACCAATCATGCCAGAAAGTCATCACGATGATTTCAGAACTGTATTGTGAATTATGCAAAGCGCGCGGATAATTACAGTCGAGCGCCCAGAATACAGAACGCATATGCTGCGGGGTGGGTAGCCCCTGTGGCTTTTGCCAGAATTTGATAGTTCTCTCGGTGTGGGTTGGGGGTGGGGTGTGTGCACCCGTGTCTGTTTAGTGGGCTTCTTGGCACACCTAGTTCGATGAAAAGTTAGTTGGTGGCTGGAGAAAGAACATTCCAATTTTGATTGGGGGACAATTGTGCCGAGTTTGGGAGTATTTTTCACAAGTTTTGGTGTCTGTAAATGAGTCAGCAGGCAAGAGGAGTCGGGAGTCGTTTGGAATCCAGGATAGCCACATCCTTCTGCTTTCCAGACGGGCACCTGAAAAATCCCTAGTTCTCTTGCTGCCCACAGATCCTTAAACTTCTCCCTGAAGACAAGTCGGTGTTTAGCTCTCACCACCACTTGCCCACATCTTTGCCCGCGGCAAATTAGTTCCACTCGAAGTCCTTTGTCCTGGACCAAGCGCCCCCTTCTGCCGCCACATCGCGATGGTGGTGTTGGCGGCGGCAGCAGCAATTGGATTTCTGGCAAGAACTAGACCCGAGGACCCAAAGCTGAGCCTGGCACTCTGTCTCTAAAACCCTAGCCGGAAATGCCTTTCCTCTCTGTGCACCGAGTTCGAGTTTAAGCTGTGCCACAAACAGGACTTGCTGATAGCCCAAGATGACTGTCAAAAAAAATTGTTAATTTCCCCTCCTTGTCATCTAAAAATTCCCACCATACATTATACTGGTTCTAGTTTGAAAGACCATAAAGGAGAGGTGGTACGGGAAACCGTCCCCCGCCTCTCGGTTGTTCCGGGTGGCCTGGCCCTGAGCCCGGTTGTTGCTGTGTGTGATGCTCGTGGTTCCTTGCCTCCCAGGCTCGGGCAATCCGGGGAAAGTTGCTTTCACGTGCTGCGGCCTGAGACGTGAGCGTACAGCCCTTGCAGGTTGGGACCCGGGCCTTAGACCTGCAGGGCCAAGCCGGCACACAGGGGACACCAGCAGGCACTGCAAGCACTCTGCGGCCGGGTGAGGAGGGAGCTGCGGCGAGGGTGGGCCAGCGACGAAGAGGATCGCTGGCCACCGCTCCCCCACCCCCCACCCCCCAGCCTCCAATTCGGTCTGGAGGGCTGGAGGCGTGACCTCTGACCCCTGGCCAGGCCCACGACCCGAGGAGAGGCTGGCGAGCTCTTGTTAGACAAGTTCAAGCGGCCGAGGGAGCTTAAATAGAATTAATCTCTTAGAGATCGGAGATCACCGCTCCCTCGGCGCGCGCTGTCCCCGCGCCGCGCCACGGCCAAGACACCAGAGAGCTCTAGGATTTCGGATAGGCGACCCGGGTGGAGAGGAAGGTGGCGGAGCTCTCCAGAGTCCCCAGGCCTGCAGGGGGAAGCCAGCGACGCCCGCTGGGGACCAACCACAGAAGGGAAGGCATTGCCTTCCAGCCGCTGAGTACACGTAATGGAGGCGAAAGGGACTCCGCCAGCTCCGGCTTGGCCGGTTTTGCCTGCAAGAAGCTGGCGAAGCCCTCCCGGCCGTGGTGCCCAAACCCGTCATGCCAAGGCCGAGGAACCGCAAGAGCCCAGCCCAGTCCCCACCGCGTCCTCAGCTCTGGCTTTCCATAGATAGTTGGAAAATGAATAAATTACTCACCTCGGGCCAGATCCACGTTTTACCCAACAGAAGGGGCACGGGACCAACAATGAACCAACTCACATGGCAATGTCCGGGCGCGCACAATCATACACAGACACAGCTACCCAATATCTTCCACGAATCTATCTGTCTGGCACTCTGGAGAGAGGGAAAAGCGTTTTGAGAGAGCCCAGTCACCCCTCCCCTCCTCCCTTGCCGTGAAATATAAAAATTCATATTTTTTTTTTATTACAAGAGCGGCTCCGTCCTCACCATCACGCACGCACGGAGCCGCTCGCCTGTGTTCACACTCTTAACTCGTCAGCTCCGAGAGCGCTTGCATTTTCTTTGGAAGCCGCTTGGAGGTTCATTAATATCATTAGCATTTAACCCCCTCCCTTTTCCCATCTCCTCCCCACACATGGCTGACGTCAGACCCCGCCAGGAGTTGGGGGAAAAGCTAAGTGGGCCAGGGACGCCCTATTCCCCTCCCCGCGGCTGCCTGTCAGAACGCTACTGGAGATATTACCAGAGACCCGGCCCGCAGCGACAGGCACAAAGTCACAGGGTAATGAACTTCGGGGACCCTTCGCCGCTGCGTGCGCGGCTGTCCCCGGAAACTCGGATCTGGCCACCTCTCCCCTTGGAAGATCTCCCAGCAATCTAGTTTGCCCTCTCGGCGCCCGGGCTCCGGCAGCGAGGAGCTTATCTGCCTGAGACTGCGGCTGTGATTTTCGTCTTTCCACAGAAGATCGGCGGTCTGCAGAGAGCTGCCCACTCTGCACCCTGTGTGGAGGGAGAGATTGGAAACAGTACCAGGCATGGGGAAAGAGGGGGGTTTCGCCCTCGTTGCTCCGTAGGAAGAGCATTTCCGTGTCTCCATCTCTGCCCTTCAATATTCCCCTCGCGCTGTCCTCCCTCTTCAGCCTGCCTGTCCATCTCTCCATCTGTTCAAGACTGTGTCCACATCAAGCCGCATCCCCAGCTGCTGCAGTTTTGCTAGAGCCGGGAAAGAAACTTAAGGATGCTTACATTTTCACTGTGGAACGAATTCTGAGCGCCCGGGAGAGCGGGGGCAGCGCTCAAACCAATAGCCACCTGTCTGTCTGTCCCGCCCGGGAGCCTCGCAGGCTGGAGGGCGGCTGGAGAGCGGCGGCGCCCGGCGGCGACGTGGGCGCCGTGGGCGCCGTGGGCCGGGAATCCGGCAGTGCCCACCAGCCGCTGCGCCCCGGGACCGCCAGCATGAGCAAGCCCGCCGGATCAACAAGTGGGTACCTCTCGGGCAGCCGCGGGGTCCCGGCGCGTGGCCTTGAGGAGGGCAGGCTGGGAGGCCGGGGTGGTCCTTCTGAGAGCTCTGAATTTGAGCCCCAGAGTGGGACTCTATCTGGCTTGGGTGGCCGTTGGCCTAGCTCTCTTAGACTGTTGCGTTGGAGCGTTTCGTGCAACTAGGAGAGCAATTTCGTTGCCTCTGGATGCTAGCTAGCTCTTCCCGGTGTCCCTGGTGTAGCAGGAAGGTTGCGACCCGTGGCAGCCCACCGGTCCAGCGAGTGGTTTCTATTTAGCCGCAGGTGCTGAGGGTGGGAGGGGTGAGACGGGGGCGGGAACTGGGCTGCAGCTCCAGGCGGCGACACAATAACGCAGCCGCTCAAAAAACTCGGAGCTCCAGCGCGCAAAAGCAACTCTGCAAAAAGCGGATTTCGAATGGAACGCTCTGCACCCCGTTTCCAGCTATTTCAAATAATCCTGCAAAACTGGGAAGCAGAAACCATTTAAAAGTCACATTTTCCTTAATCCTAAATCCGCGTAGGTCAGAACTGGGGAATGTAAAGTATGGCGAGCCAGTCTAGCAAAGAGAGGACCAAATCCCTAATCCCAAGGACTTTCCGAGCCGGAGCCATGCACCGGCAGGAGTCTGCGGCCTGCTCACTCCTGCGCTTCTTCTTTGCAGCTTCCTCTCCCTTAGCCCGCACTGCTGCAGCTGACCTCTGCTGACTTCCAAAGATAGGACTGCAGGGCACTGTGCGTTTGCGAGCACGGAATCTGCAGGCCTGAGCCGGCGTGGAAGGCGCCTACGCGGTGCTCCAACCTCCCCGGGGCTTTCCAGTTCCCGCCTTCCACAGGCCGGAGGCGAGAGTTCTAGGGTCTCTGTCTAGTGCGCACACCCTGGAGCTCTCCAAGCACCGGCGTAGTTTCCCCCTATAACATTTTTGGCGCTCTCTGTGAGTTCCTTCCCGCCCCCTCCCCCTTCACTCGCCCTCATTGTCCAGGGTCTTTGAAAGTTGGAAGAGTCTTGGTTACTTCTGGGGACTGATAATGAAGTCTCACTTAGAGTGGGGGCAGTTCCCGCCTCCACCTCTCTCCCCCGTAAGAAGAAGCTTGTGTTTTCATTTTGTGCGTTTGTTTTGATTTTGGATGCTGAGTTTAAAAATTAGAGTAAAGTGAACGTCAACAAAACGAGAGAAAAGAAAAAAGAAAAAAAGAAAGGACAGGAAACTGTTCAGAGCTAGGGTCGAGAGAAGGAACCTTCTATCACAGACAGCTTCAGTGCTCAACCGACCACGGTCCCAGTAGCCTTGGCCTATCCTTGCTCTGGCTGGTCTGAGCTCTGGAAAGTACTGTAGGGTCAGGAAAAAAAAATTTTTTTTCCTGGGTTAGTCTTTCTCAAGAGAAGCAGGAGGAGGCCATTCTCGCTGCATTGCAAACCCTCCATTGCAAAAACCGAGGTTGAAGAGCCTGGGCAGGCCTTCTGGCACGTTCACCCGGGGACAGCCAAACCTGAAGAGGTTTGAGGGGAGCTTTGCCCTTTTGAAGCTCGAAGCTTCCAGCGAACTTCAAAAGTGGGGCCTCCTAGATGAGGGAAGGGGTGGGCGCGACGCTCAGCTCTCAGCTCTACCCCGACTCTGAGAACTAGGCAGACGCTGGCAGCCTCGGGATTTGGGAGTCAGAGTGGTGGGCACATGATGTGCGAAGGCACTTTCTGGGGAAACTTGAGTTTTCTAACTTGCCAAACCTTGGAGTTTGGCCTTGAAGGCCTGGGGACTCTAGTCAGCGCCCGATGGCTCTGAAGAATTTGCTCTCTGGACGAGGGAGCAAGACCCTGCAAAAAGTATGGCTTCACCCAGATTTTCAGACCCTGGCTGCGGCCAGCCGAAATTCTATGGCCCTGCAGCCCAGGCAGCGAGGGGCTCTGAGAGCAGAGAGCAGCGGGGCGAGTTTGGACCCTGCGGGGCAGGGAGGTCTTCATCTTACTCGCCCGGCTGGAGAGCAGAGCCTTGTTACCCGGATTCCCGCCTGGGTGGTACTAAGACCCTCGCCAGTCACCCCTGCAGCCCAGACTAACTTCTTTCAACAGCCTCTGATGGTAATTACAGTAATCGAAGCTGCCATATATCTTTAGGCAATTATGACACACAAAAAGCCCCGAGGGGACCCCCTGGGGAGGGAAGTTAAGAACCGTTTTCCAGCCTCTGGAAACTCGGGCTTGACTCCCGTCTGAGCTCGCTCGGCTTGCTGAAAGAGAAGAGCTATGCCGCAGTCAACCAGCTTGTCTGTGACCCCAAGTCACCTTAACGTGGCTGGGTGGCGGAGGCTGAGGCGTCGACCCTCTATGCCCTGGAATTTTCGCTTCCCTCCCTTCTGTGCCCCGCCCCAGCCCAGCTCACTGGATGGGGAAGTCAGCCCTTAAACAAGGCTGAGCAGCAAGTCCAAGTGGTGACAATCGGGCATCCTGACCGATGAGCCAGAAAGGGGTCATCCACCGTGAGCTGGTCTTCTGGCTACACTGGGGTTCTCCAGAAATGTGTGACCGTAGGCTCCAATCTGGAAGAGAAGCCTGGATAATGAGAGGGGCCACCACTGCTTCCCTTTCGGACTCACTCTCAGTGCTGCCGGGAAGAGAAGGACAGCTGGGGCGACAGTGCTACTGAGCCCTTAATAGGGGGCCCCAAAAGACCAGAGGGAGGGGAACTTTAGAAGATCTGAGCTCCGCGTTCACTGTTTCCACAGGGAGTGCTTGTGCAGCAGAGCTCAGAGCTCGTGGCCGCGGGGTCCAGACGCGGCCATGAGTTGTTTGGGAAGTAGTGACAGGCCTCAGGGGGTGAAGGACAAGACCCACACTTGATTCACTCCAACCCCTCCCTTTCCCAACTCAATCTCCGCTCTTGCCCTGCGGGAGAGGGGGCGCCGAAGCGGTGGCCGCAACGCCGAACGCCTCCCCCGCCAGCCTTTGTCGCCGTCCGAATTCCCATGCTACTCTTTTTGACGGGTCACTGGTGGCTCTATAGGCAGGTGCTGCGGCGGGGTTGTAATTACCCCGGCTGAGCCGGGTCCTTACCGACCTCCCCCTGCCGGGTCCCCCGCACTCCCCCCTCCACCTGAGTAGGAGGCCAGGGCCCGGAGTGCAAGCCGTCTCAGGCGCCTCGGGGTTCCCTAGTTAAATTCCTACTTCCCTCGCCTCCGGGCCTCCGCAGACAGAGCCCGCTGCTCGCTGGTTCTCCCGCCCCGAAGCTGGGTGCTCCAGGAGCGACTGTGGGGTTCCCACGAGGCCCGAGCTCGCCTGGTCCCGGGTTGGAATGCCTTTGACCCTTTCGATGGGGAAATCAGGTGTTAATTGTTATTGACTGTAATTTTTAATGACAGTGTTAACACTTTTATAAATATACCCATTGTTTTCAGAAAATTTTCTTCGTCTGTAAGTAACTTTGCTTCAGGCACTTGTTGGACTCCAACCTGAGGAAAAACACGTAGCCCTTCCTAGTGCCCTCTTCCTAACACACCCAAGCCCGCCAGGCTTGGAGAGGCCAGGCAAACTTCTCCTGCGTGGGTAGCAGTCCCAGAAAAATTAGAGCTATTCAAACAACAAAAACAAGTCCCTCTTCCTCCAGCAGCAGAAAAAACGCAGAAGACGCCACTACTACGAAGGGGGCGAAGGGAAGAGACCAGTGTTTAGACGGAAAAACGTGGGGTAAAGGGGGAGAGGTGACCACCTCTGGCTACCCCAACTAGAAAGCCACCAACTGGATGTCTCTGCTCTTGCTCAGACCGGTTACTTCCCTCCCCCTCAACTTTTTTTCTAAAAGAAATAATTTCTCAAACTCTCAGCACTAGGCATTTTTTTTCCATAGGTAAAAAGAAAGTTGGGCAATTACCACTACCCTTATTATCACTAATAATCTGAGTATTAACATCACAATAATAATCCTAATAATAACAACCGCCGGGCTCAGCTCAGAGAAAACTCGATTGCCTCCCAGCTGCCAACCCCGGTTCCAGTCGTGTTTGTTTTTCTTCTTTTCCCTTTTACATTTCAAGTTTGTCTCCTTGCGCCGCTCACAAACAACTTTTTTCCCCCTGTTAAATGCAAGAGCGGAGGAGGGAGGCAGCCAAACTTTCGGCGGAGCAGAAAGGCAGCGGCGGGCCGAGCTGCTGCCCGGGCCTGCTGTAATCTTTTATTCCAAAATGGGTCTCGGCGATTAGAGGAGACCCAAATACATGTAGCGGTGCATGAATAACGCTCATTGTAGGAAGCTGACACTTGCTCAGGGAAAAAAAAGTTTGGCTATAAAATCTCTTCATTATTTGCTTTTACCGCAGCTTCGATGCTAATCCCCTCAGAGGTCAGATTGCTTAGCATCTCTCTCTCCCCCTCTCCCCTTTCCTCCATCTCCTCCTCCCTGCGCTCCCTCTCATTCTTCCCCCCTCTACCCGGTCTTTCAGGCCGCATTTTAGATATTCCTTGCAAAGTGTGTGGTGACCGCAGCTCCGGAAAGCACTACGGGGTCTACGCTTGCGATGGCTGCTCTGGATTCTTCAAGAGGAGCATCCGAAGGAATAGGACCTATGTCTGCAAGTCTGGAAACCAGGTACTCCCCAGGGTTGAGCTGTGCAGCTCCCCTCTGAGTCCGCCCCCCCCCCATTTCTGCCTCTAAATTCCCCGACCTCAGTCCCCTTCCCTCCTCCGTCTCTACTTTGGGTGGCCCTTTGGCTCTGGAAAGGCCAGATTAGGTTAGGGAAGGCAAATGAGTTTACAGGAGAGAGTCAGAACTCCCACGGTTTTTCTACAAGGCCTGCCCAGAGGACTCAAGGAAGCAAGCAGAAGCAAGCCAGCAGCCCATTCTCATTCTCAGCTGCAGCCAAGCTCAGTCTAAGACCACTGAGCCAGGACCACCACTGCCTTTACCTAAGACTCTAAAGTGAGCAGTGGCTACTCAAAAGCCCTGCAGCTTGCCAGATGCTGGGTCCTTCGGCTCCATGGATGCAGGGCTGCTCTGGAAGTAGGCAGGTGTAAGGTTGGCTCAGAGAAGTTCCGACCCTAAGCTAGTTAGCCTTGATTCTTCCTTTTCTGCTTTCAGGATGAACCTGTTGAGTTGCATTTCAGTCTGGCACCGGCTGACCTATCTCACAGACACAGGGTAGTCAGGGGGTGAGCTGAGTCCAACTATAGCGTCCAGCCAGAGCTAACTCCATCCCTGTCAGAGGCTCATGTCAACCTAAGTGGTCAACCCTCTGGCTCCACAGGCTGCTCACCTATGCACAGAAGCCTCCCCTCGACTCTTCCCAGACTCCCAAGAGTACCTTAGCCGGGAGGCAACCTCTGTCAACCAAAAGGATGAAAAGCACCCACTAGTTAATGTGTAGGACACATGTCAACTCACACAGTCATCTGGTGCTAGTGAGTTCTTGTTCAGATGGAACATCGCCTCCTCCCCATTCCTGATAGATTTTGATTGGCAGCACATACAAGAAGACATGTGCAGTTAGATACGTTGTTTTGGCCTCTGCAACCCCCTCGCCTGATTTCTTGGGTTCTCGGCACTAGCTCACCAGTATCACATTAGATACACACATGAGATTGTGTCCCAGAAGCTCCATAGCTTTGAGATTCTGCAGGTACCAGGTATCTACTTAGAATACTGTTGTCGTTGTTGTTGTTGTTGCAAGGTCTTAGTCTGTAGCCTAGGCTGGCTTGAGACTCACGATCTTTCAACCTCAGGCGAGGGTCACCACACCAGGCCACATTATCTTATTCGTGTATCTAACAGACAGAATTGGGAAAGCTGAGGTGGTGTGCTTCCAAAGAGGTGATCATCAGTTCAAAGACGTGTATATCAATCCAGAGTGATTGGAAAGAGGTGATAGCAAACCCAGCAGGCAAAACGAATAAAGATGTCAAATGGAGGGTCCTCTTCCTTCTCTCTGGCTCCAGAACCTTCCGTACATTTGATGGGACCGAAAACCCACTGGAGACATTTTGCCTTTACATATTTATCAAGATACTGGAGAAGATATAATTTCAATTGGATATTCAACTACATTTGTATTTTGCTTTGGGTTGGATCAGTGTGTATGCATGCTGAATTTATGCTGTGACTTATACCCCCCAGCCCAAGTCGATGGATTTTAATTGGTGAAGAAAATGAGATGAGTTTCTCTTGTGTGTAATTTTCCTTATGGGTATTTCAAGAAGGAAATATACTCATCCCAACTTCAGTGTTTATGAAGATTTAAAATGGCGAGGCAAAATTAAATTTTTGTGTGTGTGTGTGTATAAAACACTTGTACAGAAGGCTAGGCGTTTCACTCAGTGGAAGAGTGTTCCCAGCCCTGGGTTCCATCTGAAGTGCTTCAAAACAAAACATAGACACATTATGTATCTATATCCATGTCCCCTGAGTAATGACACTGACACAAACAAACACTAAAAGAAACATTATCTGAGCTGGCTGTGGTGGCAAGGAGAAGCAGGAAGATCACAGATTTAAGGCTAGCCTGGGCTACACAGGAGATTTCAGGTCATCCTGAACTATAGAGCAGGAAGACTGTGTCTCCAAACCCCATGATCTGGGGATGCAGCTCAATGGTAGACACATGCCCTGCCCCTGCGTTCAAAACCAGCATCAAATAACCAACCGGAAGGAGGAACCCTTACCTCTTTTTTTTTGGGGGGGGGAGGTTGTTCGTTTGTTTGTTTGTTTGAGACAGGGTCTCACTCTGTAGTCCTGGCTGCTCTGGTCTCATCAAGATCCATCCGTCTGCCCCTGAGTACTGGAATTAGTGTTGTGGAGCACCACGCCCAGCTAAATCTTCTTTTTATATTCTCTCCCTCCCCCTGCATGTAAAATTACATAAGACATTTGTCTGCCCTGTCAGATAAATATTTGAAAAGCAGCAACTGTTTTTTTCCCATCATCTGGCTAATTCTTCACTCTACCCCCACCCTCTTCTCAGGCACTGTCTCCTGGATCTTCCTGAGTTTTCCTCTGCCCTCCAGCTCCGCCCCCACGCTCTCTCTGGCTGTCACCTCACAGTCCAGCGATGGCTGTTCCCCATAGATCTAGGCTGAGACTAGTCCTTAGTACCTCAGGGTTGTCTCTGTTTTGTGGTTGTGTAAGGATGGCTTAACTACAGAAGGAAAGGGCATAGACCTGGGAAGAATAAATGGTGGAGGTTTACCTATCAGATCAATGGGCTCACTGGGAGGACGGCAGCCAGCAGTAGACAGCAAAAGGCAGCAAAGGTGGCTACACCTTTAGGGCCTAACTTACAGGCTAGCTTCTGGCTGAGTTCAGAACCAGGTCGCTGTCTTCGGTCCTGAAAAACGTCATCTGCGCTCTGCTCCGCTACCGTTTCCTTCTTCTTAGCCCAAGGAGATCAGGAAAAACCTTTCTCTTTGTCCAACTCCCTGAGGTCGAGGACTGATCTTCCTGTCCCAACCCTGAGAATCCCAGACCTTTACTTACCTGGTAGTGAGTGCCCAAGGTTTCCCATTTCCCTGTGTCTGGGCATCCTCCCTGAGTCGGGGTTGTCCAGAGTCCCCACTCTGGGTCTCACACCCCAGGATCGGGGTTCTGGTTCCCACCTATGGGCTATGGGGGGCTCTGACTGCCTGCGGTCTGTTTCAGGGAGGATGCCCCGTAGACAAGACACACAGAAACCAATGCAGGGCGTGTCGACTGAAGAAGTGTTTGGAAGTCAACATGAACAAAGATGGTAATCAGTACATGCTTTTATTCTTCTAATTTTGATTGGGTAGTAAGTAAATTATATGTACAGAAAATAGATGGCACTCCTATGCATGTAAATCATTCCCCAGCAGAACTCCCCTCTCCAGATGCTGGGGACTGGCCACAGGCTGACAGTTGTAGCCTCTCGGAGACTGCAGCAGTCCTCGGCTGACCCCACAGTATGCCAGGAAGCCCCACACCCACACGGAAACTTGCCCCAAGCTCACCCTTACCACGGCAGTGTTTGCAGAGCAGGAATCCCACGCCCAGTTGCATAGTTCCTGCTTAGGATCCTAACCCCATTTCTCGCCTCTTCTTGCAGTCTTTTGTAACCTCCCTAAGATCTCAAGATCGAGCGCTCAAGTCTTTATGGAATTCTCCAAGCACAGAGAGGAAAACGCGAGGTTTCAGGTCCTCGTTGGCAAATTCAGTGTAGAGATTGAGTTGGCCCTAAGCTTTTCAAGAGCCTTTTCTAGGTGGACCAGAATGGGGGGGGGTAGCTAAGGAGGATGACACACAGGGGTGTCCCCCACAATCTACCCCTGAGGCCCAAATTCAAGCCAGACTTGTGTCTTAAATAATTTCAGGATTTAGATGAAATCTCCAAGCCGCATTTTCCGGCCCTCCTCAGGTCTGGACTTTGCAAGGACATCCCTGGGCCTGGGAGAAGGTGGAGGAGAGGCTGGGGACACGGTGTAGGGAGCCTTGCGGTGTGTGTGTGTGGGGGGGCTGCCTGTCTGGAGTGCCTTCTCTCTGGCTGCTCAGGAAGCAGGAGGGAGCGTCCAACCTGTTGAACTTGTGTATTGACAACCTGTCATGCTCTGCGGGTGGAAGATTGCCCTGAATTAATTTGTTTGTTTAAACTGTTGGTGGTAATTGTCTCCCATGCCTTCCTCCATTTGGAGACGGGCTCACCCCCTGTCCCATCCCCCAGCGTTCCTTGGGCTTATGTCTTTTTCTGAAGCCTTGGAGGCCAAAGCCAGTTGTGGGGGAGACCTGGAGGTAGAGGGGAGTCCATCTCTGCGGCCCTGATTGCATGTGAGCCTCCCTTTCTTGTTAGTGGGAGCTGGGAGCTGGGAGCTGGGAGCCAGGGTGCCTTGTTATTTCGGAGGCCCTGAGGGTTCCTGGTTTCCCTGAGATCCCTGGGTGGGAAGGACGGCTGAGCATCTTGCTCACTCGTAGTCCATCTCAGATCCCTGCTTCTCCCCCATGCCGGGAAAACGTACCCTCTCTCTTCACCTCTGTCCCCTTGGTAATCTTGCGGCCCCTAGGTGACTATGGAGCCGCAGCCCCTGCTGCATCCAAGTGTCACCGCGCCTGTAATCCCAGGCCTGTGTCCATCTGTTTGTCTCTGTAGCCGTGCAGCACGAGCGGGGGCCTCGGACGTCCACCATCCGCAAACAGGTGGCCCTCTACTTCCGTGGGCACAAGGAAGACAATGGGGCCGCTGCTCACTTCCCCTCCGCGGCGCTGCCAGCCCCAGCTTTCTTCACAGCGGTCACGCAACTGGAGCCGCACGGTCTCGAGTTAGCTGCTGTATCTGCCACCCCTGAACGGCAGACTCTTGTGAGCCTGGCTCAGCCCACGCCCAAGGTTAGTAGTGGCTTTGCTGGGTCCAAAGAGACTCTCTTAAGCAAAGGGAGGGGGTAGCCACGCTCAGTTCTGAGCTTAGGCGCGTTCTGGGAAAGATGGAGGCATTCCCAGATGCTCCATTCTGAGTCTCCTGCTCCTTCTGTTGAGCCAAAGTTGCTGATGTTTAACGCACAGTAGACCAACCACCCTCTGGGCGGCCATAAATGCACACTCCCGGGGATGAGGGATGGAGGCCAGAAACCTGCACCTTTAGGGAACGCTAAAACGGTTGATGAGTGGAACAGTCTAATCCCAGAGGGCAGCCTCAGGTGCTCCCAGGGGCCAGAACTGACTAGAACAGAAGTTGGCTCCACCTGAGAGAAGGAGCCTCCTGAGATGCCCCAGGATCTATATATAATCTTGGATGGTTTCAGCACAACAGAGAAAAATGTAGAAATCACTGTTAGAAAGGCTGTATTTTTTTGTCCTGCCCTTACCCACGATAACCAACCCCCAAGGTTGGTCCTACCAGCAGAGTCACAGCCTGACAAACCTGGGAAGGCTGCCACCTAGGGACTGCGCTTCAAGCCTCGACTTGATTCCTCCCAAGGCCCCCACTAAAGGGAAAGAACCTAGGATTCCCCCCAGAGGAGGCCAGCTGCAGCCTCACACTGTAAGGACGCCAAACACCTGGGCACATACACACGCACAATATTTAATATTGCTTTCTTACCCTTGATGTGTATAATAAGCTCTGGAAAGTAGTGTTATGAATATGTTGTCAGTTATGAATGGGAATGCTCTGTGAATGATTAAGATGTCTAATTGAAATATTTCCATAATATACTAATCCTTTCTAAAAATACTCATATGCATATTTGTGTTTGGGATGCCTATTAATTTATACTTTTTTCTCATCTACTTGTATTTACACAAATGCGAGCAGTTCTTGTCTAAATTGGGAGCCAGGCCTGGGACATGGCTCAGCCCAAGAAAATTTTGCTTCAGGGGCAGAAGAGCCAGACACCCCTTTGGAGGACAGAAGCCCCCCAAGAAAGCAAACCTACCTCCCCCAGTAGACAGCAGTTCCCAAATTCTGTAGAGATGTTTGAAGGCAACTGAAACATTTAACCAGAGCAGCCCAGCCTCTGCTTAACGAGGGCATTGAACTGTCAGTTGTTTTTGCAAAGCTGGGGTTCCCCCACTTGAAGTATTTGTCTTTCCTCCTCCTCTCAGTATCCCCATGAAGTGAATGGGACCCCAATGTATCTCTACGAAGTGGCCACTGAGTCCGTGTGTGAATCAGCTGCCAGGCTTCTCTTCATGAGCATCAAGTGGGCAAAGAGTGTGCCAGCCTTTTCCACGTTGTCCTTGCAAGATCAGGTATGACCAGCAGGACGCTGAGGGCTTGGAAAGGAAGCAAGGGTGCTTAGCCTTGTAAGCTGGATGCCACCTGCGTATGCCAGCAGGGAAGCATGCTTTCTGAACAATGAGGAAGCCAGTTACTGTTAACAGTATCATTCTAGACTTTCAAATTATCTATGGAATAATTAACTAGAAATCTAACTATGGCCAGATGGTGGTGGCGCACACCTTTAATCCCAGCACTTGGGAGGCAGAGGCAAGCGGATTTCTGAGTTCGAGGCCAGCCTGGTCTACAGAGTGAGTTCCAGGACAGCCAGGGCTACACAGAGAAACCCTGTCTCAAAC